GAAATGGTTGACAGCTGCTGGTGGCATGCTCATGCTCTCATGAACATGAGTGTGGATTTGAACAGGAAAAAATTGCACAGTGTGGCTTGTAGCCATGATTGATCTGTCTCAGCAGGTCCATCCTTGCAGCAGTGTGGACTGCTTTAGGGTGTTCAACCTGTTGTGGGAGCCAGCAGTGTGGCCAGCATGTTTTCCCCACGAGTCAGGAAACCCCAGAAATAAGTGGGCTTTTCCACCCATCTGCTGGCTACCTGAGTGATCTCATGGCACAACACTTCCCCTGCGCACCTAGAAAGCCAGTTCCCAGATTGAGCAGAGCTCTGTTCGGCTTCTGAAAAGGGCTTGCTCTTCTTGTGTGCCTTCAAGTCATTTCGGACTTATGGCAACCCTAAAGCGAACTTGGCAAGATTTGTCCAGAGGAGGTTTGCCATTGCTTTCATTTGAGGCAGAGAGCATGTGACTTGCCCAAGGTCACCCAGTGGGTTTCATGGTCAAATAAAGAATCGAACTCTGGTCTCCAGAGTCACTCACTGTTCAACATTCAAACTACTATACCACACTGGCTCTCTTCCAAACAGGGCATAAGGAGGTTGTGACAATCAGACGAAGGTCCGCGCCTCAAGTGTTGTCACGACCACACTCACTGGTGGAAGGACATAGAAATATCATCTTCCTCATATCCAAACAGGGCACATGGATGATAATGTTTCTACACCCTCCCACCTATGTGTAAGCCTGCAATAAGATTTGAGATGGGTACCCTGCTTCTGATTGTCATAGCCTTGTTCACTAGTGGGCTGGAGGCATCATTCAGTATTGCAGTTATGGATCCAAAACTACCCTGTATTCAGAAAGACTACAGAATGCAAAGAGAAAGATTTTTTTAATATTCTACACATTGAAGAGCCCATGATTTTCTAGGAACGCAGTTTGAAACCACTTGCCAGACATACTCTTAAAGATGCTGATGCAACACTGGTGTCCTGAAAGAGTGATTATGGATATGCAGTCTAGCTTGCTTTTGGGTGTGCCACCCACATTCCTCTCTTCATGTTTTTTCTAGTGAAAGTTGCTATTGCTGTTGCTGGGCTCTGTTTGGTTTTTCTATTTTTCACAGTAAAACACAAAATGACTGTTGTTTGTTCCTTGACTGCTCATTATTTGCAGAAGTTTCAAAAACTTGGCTTTCCCTCCACCCATTTATCTTTGTTGGGGGAATGCGCCAGTAAATGGACTTCCCAAATTCAGTGTAAGTCAACAAACTTCAGAGCACTTCCCGAAACTTAGAGCAGCTGACCTAGCCTACCTCTGGCACTTTTTTGTTTGTTTATTGTTCTAGTAATATATAACAAAAGGAAGGGATTAAAAGCCTTCACTTTCAGCACTGCTGCTTTCCTCTACTCTGACACTGACAATTAACAAGAACAGTGCCATGTCTACTTTTTTGCTTCTCATAGGGGCAATCTTCATTTTAGGAATAAATGGCTTTACTTCAGCAGAGAAGATAAGGTAAGTTAATTTTTTTAAAAAGTCAGCCATCTTTTGTATGAAAACATCTTAGCATTTTTCAGCATTCTGTTTACTTGATGTTAAAATTTAAGGGAGGAATGCAAGGCTTCAGGATCAATGCCATTGAATCTGGTAGAATTTGCACAATACACCTTGGTGAGATAGGATAGGCCACTGGATGTCCTCTCCTCCTTCAAGATTCCAGCCTAACCAAGAGAACCATGGTGATGGTAACGGGAATCCCAAATCCTGCTTTTCAGCACCAGTTTGGCCATAGAGAAGACGTCAGTTGCCCAGGATCTGATTCTGAATGGGTGCTGACATTGCCTGTATTATGTCAACCTGCCTGAGAAAATGGAGGCAATTTGCCTTCCCCATCACTATCTGTTAGGTTATCCTACAGTGTAGCTGGCTAGGTCTGGGGTTCATGGAAGCAGAGTGACTTCTTGTTTGTTAATATGTTACTTCAAACTAATTCCAAGCAAACCTTTGATAGAGTTTTCTTGACAGGATTAATTCAGAGGGGGTTTGCCATCGCCTTCTTCTTAAGCTGGGATAGTGTGACTTTCCCAGACCAAACCACTACACCACAATGGTTCTCACAAGTGGAGAGTGGCCACAGTCCATAAAAGTGGCTACAATCTATAAAACTTCCCTCTCACTAATCTGGTGATCCATCCAATAGTCTGCTATTTTTGTTGTCAAGCCAGTGTTGGGATTCTACTGGTATAGAAACCACCCCACTGTCCACCAATCACCTTTCCTGTGCTAGCCAGTGTTGGGCATTGGGTTAGTTTTCTGGGGGACTCCAATGTTTCTGATAATACTGAATCATGACAACTCTGGACCAGTCCCAACTATTTGGGGGCCTCTTGCATCTGGCAAGGCATACCTTTGATCTGGTCTCTGGTGGAGCTGGCCATCTGAAGTTTATCAGAGGTTACATGTGATATTTTTGTCACAGGCAGGTCACCTTCTGAGGTTAGTTTCAGACTGGCTGCTGGTGCAGACCTGCACAAAGTTGGTGGACTAGTTAAAGTGGTCTGCTCCAGGTACTTGATGGATTTATATGATATCCCTAATGCTCTTTCCATTTTGTTTGTTGATAGTTCTATCACAATACCAAATTCACTAGAGTGGTTGAGCCCATTGGTCCTAAGCACCCTGTCTCCATTGCTAGGGACAGTTAACTCTTTTAGTTTAAGAGGGAGCTGAAGCCAATGGAACAGGATGGATGGAGCCTAGAAGAATATGGGGGGGGGGCATTCTGGTTGGCGGGAAAGACAGATTAGAACCCATTTGACAACAGTGTATTATAGTTGGGAAAACAGCTGAGGAAACTCACATCTCTACCAACAGCTTATCTACCATAAAGAAATTGGCAAAGTTTTGTATTTTATTCATAACATTTTGATATTGATTTTCATTTTCTCTTTAAAAAAATATCTCAGAGAAATTTACAAATAAAAGAAATCAAACATCTAAAATGATAAAACAATAAAAAATATTTAAATTCAGTAAAACATTCATTAAAAATCCTGTGGTCAGTAGTAATGTTAAAAATTGGCAATTAATCAGGAAAATGCCTGGGTAATTGCTCAGTCTTTAATTAAGTGAGAAAACATTAATAACTTAAGAGACTATCTAGTCTTTATGGGGAAACCATTCCACATAGTGTCTGACACAACAAAGAAAACACTCCTACCCTTAGAGTCAAATGAGCTTCTCCAGGCTGTGACATAGACTAAATCTGCACTGCAGAAATCATTCAGTTTGACACTGCTTTAACTGCCATGGCTAAATGTGATGAAATCTGATATAGTAAAATGGTGTCCCTTATATAAAATGGCAAAATCAAGGATTCTTTTGGGATTTTTTATAAAAATATATATATTTACAAATCATGAATGGTTGAATTCTTGGATGCAAAATCCATGGATATGGAAGACCAACTGTACCATGATTAAGGCAAGTGATTTGTGCTTCTTTCTGTTGTTGTGATGTCCATACAAAATGGCACTGACGTATGGTGACCCCCCCCAATAGGGTTTTCTTGGCTAGATTTATTCTGAGGAGATTTGCCATTTTCTTCTTCTAAGGCTGGATAAATGTGCCCAGTGAATTTCCATAGTTGATCAGGGGAGAGAAAGGGTTGCCTTCTCCATTTAAAAGAAGGTAATAATAAGACTTTTATTAGATCCAGGAGGTTGACTAACTATAGACCAGTATCAAATTTTCCATTTTTGGCTAAGGTGATTGAGAATGTTGTGATGCTGGACCTATTTTGCTGTGGTTTTCTGCCAGCATTGATACTACTTTGGTCACCTTGGTAGTTTATTTACACAATGGGAACTGAACACTCTATTGATTCTCTCAGACTTCTTGCTGGGTCTTAGTACCATGATCATGGTACCCTTTTAGACTGCCTGGTTGAATTGGGTATGAATGAGGGGTACCCATGAGATTCAGGTCCTCCTTGTCATGCAAGTGGTGCCAAAGGATTGGATGGTGTCCCACAGAATTATATTCTCTCATTATATTCAGTATCTATATGACACCACTATGAGCTTTGGAACAAGGTGTCAACATTAGTCTAATGTAGTCTCTTGTCACCAAACCACCAAGGAAGCAGTTTTATACTGTTTGTTCAGCTGGGTGATGGGGCGCAAGCCAAAAGAAACCCTGACAAGGCAGAAATTGTGCTGTCCAGTAAACAGTCTGACTTAAAAACAACAAAATCCATCCTGTTCTGGAAGGGGTTGTACTCCCCTTGAAAGTCTGGGGCATAGTCTGGCAGTATTCCTTGACTATTTACTCTTATTGAAGTCCCAGGTGGCAATGGGTGATTTTGCACAATTTCACTTAGTGTGCCAGCTATGACCCTTCCTGATCTAATCTGACCTGATTTCCCAACAGTCACCCATGCCTTTATAACATCATATCTTGGCTACTGTAGTGGGGCCTATTTAGGGCTGCCTTTGAAAAGTGTCCAAGAGCTTGTTACAAAATACAGTACAGCGTCTCATTCAGCGCCTGCTTTCACTGCTCTTGTCTCATCAAATTAGCCTTTCAGAGCATTTTGTTATCTACCAAATACAAAGTTATTGTAATGATTGTAATGGTTTTGATTATTTCATGATTTTATTGTTTTTTATTCTACTTTAATTTTTAATTTTTTTTAAGTAATGGCTGTTAGCCACCTTGAGTGCTTTTTTTAATTGGAAAAGTGGGATTAAAACATACATACATGTTTTTATACAGTGTGTCCAAATTTAAATCAAATTTAAATTCAAATTTAAACATAGAATTGCAATTGTAATGATAATTTTCAGACATAAGTACATAAGTTCAAGCCACTGTTGTTGTTGTTGTGTGCCTTCAAGTTGTTTCCAGCTTAAGGCCACCCTAAGGCAAACCTATCCCATTTTTTGGCAAGTTTCTTCAGAGAGGGGTTGCCATTGTCATCCTCTGAGGTTGAGAGTGGGTTTATATGGCTGACCTGGGGTTCGAACTCTAGTCTCCAGCATCATAGGCTAGTGCTCAAACCACTGAACCACACTGGCTTAAGCCACTATCAATGCAATATTTAAACTTTTCTAGAGTTTTTTTCTGCTTTGGTCAGTCTTTTAAAACCAGGAATTTTGAAATTAAAATATTAATGTGCGTATTTTTACATAAAAAATTTGCTGAAAACAAAATATCATCATCATCATCATCATATTTATTTGTAGCCTTGTCTTTTCCCAGGAATGGGACTCAGAGTGGCTCACAATATTAAAAGAACAGTACAGTTAAAAACATAGAAAAGTAATACATTAAAATGGAATTAAATTGTTACAATATTAAAATTGATTGCTTATTAAAAGAATAAAATACAGTTTAAAAAGATTAAACTGTTTAAAGCACTTTAAAATGATAAAATGAAAATAATTGGAGTCAGTCTACACAATTTCACACACACACCCACCAGTACTACAGCCATATGAGACAACTAATGCTATATCTCCCTTCCATTTCTCTACACTGTTTTTATGGAGCACAGACCTAATAGGTCCAGTGGTCCAATGTACAACCTCTTTGGCATTGGATGGTAGGAAGGGTTTTTAGAAAGGTAATAATCTGTGGTTGTCTCCATTTACTCACCTTCATTGGGGATGGTTGGTTGACTTCCTCTTCTTCTCCGTCTTCTTTATCATCATTGTCATCATCAGGCTAATGATCAATGCATCAGCTGCATAGCTGCACAAGTGGTGAATAAACACACAATCTATTTTAAAATGGGTGGGAAATCATGTTGGAGCATGGTGCGGGTAACTACCATACCCCCTGAAAACATTAAATTTCCCAGCTGAAGCACTGGGATTTTTAAAAATGTTAATTTACATAGCAGCACCAAGACTATAGTGTAGGCAGAAAGTTTTTAAACCATTACTCTGTGCTACAGTCCCATCAGCCTCCACTTTCAGAACTACTGTTTATGTCACGAAAAGTACTGACATGGGTTCCAATGTGGGCATACATGCTTAAAAACTAAAACAAACCCTGACACAGGTACTGGGGTGACATTCTCAATCTCCTTCGATGCAAGTTTCATCCATGCATGGAACACAGGGCAGCTTTTTGTCACATGGCACTCTGCAAATGTCTCGGAAGATAACTCCCATAATGCTACTAACTGGAGATGTTACAGATGATGGAGGTTGTAGTGGGGAACTTTGTCAAGTCTCTAAATTAAATAAAATAAAATACTAGAACTGATCAGATATCCACTTCTCGTTTTGATACACACACATATCTCTCTTTTTCAAGGAACTTTCTTCACAGATATAGATAGGCAGACAAACAGACAGACAGACAGATAGATATTTGTGAAGAAGGAGGTTCCTGCAGCCAATGAATTGCCCTTGTGACAATTTACAGAAGAGACAGCTGTGGGGGAGGAAAAAAGATTGTTATGGCAGTCTGGATGGGTTGAGAGCTATAAAATCACTTTTGGTGAGACAGGCTCAGGGCTGCATTTTCTTTACCTCAACAAATATCAGTATTTGTTTATATTCCAACAAATCTAGACTACGTGAAGTGGTCTAGGATTGTATCCATTTATTCTCCATCCACTGGTGAGAGCTTTGTTCAGAAGAATGGGAAATGGGATAATGTGATTCCCCTCCAGTAAGGATGAGGGAAAATTAAATGCCATTTTCCCATCCATTGTCGGTAGCAATAGCTCCCTGCTCAGAGGAAGAGGCATGAAGATGATTTTCCCATATGACTGGCCTCAGATTAAAAAGAATTAGAAAAGATTCTAAAATGCAAAGATATACAACTCAGAACATAAGTTAGAATTATGCAAGCCATTGTATTCCCTATTATCATGTATGGGTGTGAGAACTGGACAGTTAAGAAAGATGATAGGAAGAAAATCAATGCATTTGGGATGTGGTGCTGGAGTGCTGAGGATCCAATGGACAATCAAAAGGACAAACAAGTGGATCCTAGAGCAGATCAAGCCGGAAACCTCCCTGGAAGCCAAGGTGACCAAACTGAGGCTGTCGTACTTTGGACACATCATGTGAAGGGAGGACTCTTTGGAAAAAACAATAATGCTGGAAAAAACAATAATGCTGGGGAAGTTGGAGGGAAGTAGGAAGAGAGGAAGGTCACATGCTAGATGGATGGACTCTATTAAGGAGGTCATGGGTTTTATGGGGTTTTAGGAATTAAGCAGAGCAGTAAAGGACAGAGGGTCTTGGAGATGTCTTATCCATAGGATCTCCATGAGTTGAGATCGACTCGAGGGCAGTTAACAACAAAGAAAAATAGGATAATTCTGTTTGACACATGAATACTGAAACCACACTGAAGAATATCCTGTTTTTCTCCATGTGTGCATGCACCGAGGAACAGCCTTGCCCAAAAGACTGCTCTTGATTTCAGTTTACTAATCAATTGCTCTATAAGGCTATTTTGTGCTTGTCCAAAACAAGGTTGCCAAGGGAATCTGATGCTCCACCACCCATCGATTGCTTGCTGAGCGACTGGAGTGAGTGGGGACCATGCCATCCCTGTGCAAATGAAAGAGTAAGTGATAAATAGGTAACATAACCTGATATCTGTATTTTACACAGCTGATACCAATTGTGATGGATAGGCTTGGCCTTATGATAAGCAATGGGGAAACTCTACATAGCTCAAACTATAGTTAACTAGGGTTGCCAAGTTGGATAGGGAATTGTAGAGCAGGAAGTGACGCCATAAAGTGCCACCAATGGGAAGAAGGTACCTGACTTTCCTTACCTTCCAAAACCCAAATTTCAGGCTCAGGCATCCCCTCCCAACTCAGCTGTTTCTTCACAAGAGGAGGTGATTAAAAAACACCAGTTATAAGAACATTGCTCAGTATTCCTCTGTGCTTCCTCCTTCTGATCTCTACCAGGAAGACAAAAACTGTGTTGGGAGGGGATTGGTGAAGCTAAAAGTTGGATTTTGGAAGATAAAGAAGGACAACAACTTTCACTCTAGTTGGCAGATCTTTCTGATATTTCTTCCTGCTCTACAATTCAAAGCAAAGCAGCTTCATTTATATACCACTTCATATCACACTATGGGATGTCTCAGTGGTTTACAACGGTAAGCTCATTGCCCCCCAACAGTTAGGTACTCATTTAAGCAACCTCGGAAGGATGCAGGCCTGAGTCTAGCCTGAGCCCTGGCTAGTATTGAACTCGCAACCTTGTGGTCTATGAGTGAGTGGCTGCAGTACAGTCATTTAACCACTGCACCACCAGTTAAAGTTACAAGGACCTCACCCTGTATCCAACCTGGCAGCTCTAAGTGGAAATTATGAGCTTTCTTGGCAGAATGTTCAGGGGGGAGGGGAGTCAATAATTTCTGAGGGTCTGTGACTCCACCAGCTAATTATGAACTTTGATGGCCTTAGTGATCTAAGGTTTTGTAAGGAGAAAAGTATTATGATTGTTGGGTGCTTAGAAAATGGTTTGTGCTGGACCTCCAGTAGGCATGAACATCTTCAAGCTTTACATCAGGAACTCAACTAGTGTGTGTAGTCAGTGTATTTGATCAATGGAAACAGAAAGAGTGACACCTTCTGGTAAATGGTAGTGTAGTTTTTAGAAGAGTTCTGCAACAGTGTTTCCAAACCTGGTGCCCTCTATTGTCACCAGTTTGGGTAACACTGATATACAGCATCTACAACTGGTTTGATGAGAGGTAGTTTTAAAACAAAAACAAAATCTGCCCTTCACTCTTTCTAACATTAAAATAATATAAATGGCAGGGTCAAACAAAAGAGCATGAGAATAGTAAGATATATCTTTTATTACTTATTAGAAATTTGAAAGACAGACTAGGAACACACGATCAACTATATAAGAACCTAATCAGATCATTAAAGCCTAAAACAGATTTCGTTCAAGACATGTATCCAGAGACAATATTCTTCTTTTAGTTTTTCTGGCAGCACTCTGAAAACAAATAATCCAGTTTGACACCACTTTAACTGCAATGGCTCAGCATTATGAAATCCTGGGAATTGTACTTTGTTGTGATACCAGAGCTCTCTGACAGAGATGCTTCTAAATGTCTCACAAAATTACAGTTCCCAGAATTCCATAGCATTGAGCCCTAGCAGTTAAAGTGGTATCAAGATGGATTATTTCTGCAGTGTGGAAGCAGGCTGGAAGAGGGAGTCAGAAACTGTGTCAAAATGAAGCAGCAAGAATTGGCCTAAGCTGGGTTCCATATTAGATATCTGATTCAAACACTTGGTTAGGTTTTTAATTGTGAAAAAATTCAGCTTATACCTGTAATACAATGTATTTTTAACCCATTGTGTAAACAGCACAGTTTTATATATATATATATATATATATATGCTTATTTTTTCATGGTTCTTCTTCCCACTGATTTTATGCACTTAAAAAAACAAACCCTTTCCCTCCAAAAGTATCGCTCCAGGAGTGTCTTGAACTATGGACAGTTTGGAGGAAAGGCGTGCGTGGAACCTCTGGGACAGAGACAAAATTGTGAGCCTGACACTCCCTGCATTGAGGAGGAAGTGAACTGTGGCAGAGACTTCAAGTGTGACAATGGTAGACACTACTACTTCCATATTCTTTAAAATGCTGTTGTTGTTTCTCACAATTCACATGTTAGAATTGTGTTTAACTGACCAAAGCCTACTGTATATATTCAATATATAGGTCTAGAAATTTTAGTCAAAAAATTGATCCCCAAAACCTGGGTCCATTTATCCATGGGTCAATGTAAGTACTGTACTTTAACTCTTATCAAAAAAGAAACCATCTCCTGGTGAAAGGTGAGAGCATAATCTCTTCTTGGAACATCTAAAAGAAGCATCAACCCCCTCAACTATCTCATCCCTCTAGCCCAGGGGTAGGCAACCTTTCCCCTTTAAGGGCCGAAGGACTTCAGCTCCCAGAATCCCAGGAGCTATTGGCCAACATGGGACTATTGGCCAACATGGCTGAGGCTTCTGGGAGCTGAAGTCCCTTGGCCCTTAAAGAGGAAAGGTTGCCTACCCCTG